TTGTAAAGAAATTGAGAGAAATTTTACAATCGAAAATTTACGTCCAAAAAAATCATGCCCCATATAATTTTGCATCCGAAAATTTACATGTGATATGACTTTTTCATATGTAAAATTTCGAAAAAAATTTATATCATATTCCATATAAATTTTCTTAATAAAAGGATGAAAATTACATTGAGAAATTTGTATTGCAAAAATAATAAATATTAATGAAATAATTAATTTTTCTTAAAGAAAATGTGAGTTAAGCGTCTTTCTTTAAAACTTACGTTTAACGCATTTTTAACTATTTTTTTTATATATGTTTGGATTATTTGATATGCTTATAATGTAGTTCTCGAAATAAGTTTTGAAATGACACAAGCAATTTGTAGATTCGATTAGCGTACGATCTTCGAAGAATTTTTAAAGTCAGCATGTTATCGAAATCTTCGAAATATTAATTTTGAACGGCTTACTCTGATAAGTCATAGCATTTGCTACGATTGATTGTTTCGTACGCCATTAATGATGTAGAAAATTAGACCGTGAACATTTCGAAATGGTATTAAGAATGAAATATTTTATCCCTTATTTGATGGAGAGTTAAGATTTTTTTAAAAAGCGAGGCAAAAATTAAAATTTATTGTGATTTTGCCCCTATTTGATGAAGATTAAAATCAAATTTTTAAAAATTTTTGATAAAAGTTAAATAGTTATGAATTTCATGAAATATGTTATTAAAATTAATTATTAACTTTAATTTCGATTAAAATTTATATTTCAATCAATATCGAACATGACTTTATATATATATATATAACTCAAAAGTTGGGGGGCACATGCCCCCCAGGATCCCCTCCCCTTGGGTTCGCCCCCTGAACAGAAGAACATAAAACTGTATATATATATATATATAACTCAAAAGTTGGGGGGCACATGTCCCCCCAGGATCCCCTCCCCTTGGGTTCGCCCCCTGAACGGAAGAACATAAAACTGTATATTTAACCGATGAGTGCTGTGCAATTCTTCAAAAGAAGCTACATTATAGACTATAAGAGCCAAGAAGTTTTACTGTACCTTGCAGTATTAATTATAATTACTTTGAACATGCATTATGTGATTTTTATGCAAGTATTAATTAATGCTACTATCTGTGCACATGAAGCTTAGATTAAGCCCTTGTTTGGTACACATTGTTTCAAAATTCATTTTCAACCACAAATTTTTCAATAAAATAATATTTTTCATCACATCAATAACTTTTCCCTACTTTTTAACCACATATTTCTCATCATGTCACTATTTAAAATACATTTTTTCTCTATAATATCTAAGAATTATGCTAAGCCAGTGTTTGACACTCATGTTTTTAAAATATATTCTTTCAAAATTCATTTTCAGCCACAAATTTTTCAATAAAATAATATTTTTCATCACATCAATAACTTTTTCTTACTTTTTAACTACATATTTCCCATCATATCACTATTTAAAATACATTTTTTTCTCAATAATATCTATCAAACACATCCTAAGAAAAGCAATGTGAAATCCCAAATTTTATATTCTTAAATTGGTTGGGTGTGGCCCATTTAAGAAACGTGTTCTGGATGCTCGACCCATAAAAGATAACGAAAGTCCAAGACATAAGATATTTAAACAATGCTACAAAGAAGAATCACTTCTCATTACATTTTATTGATCAGATGTTGGAACGACTGGCGAGGTACTCCCATTATTATTTCTTTGATGGATATTTGGGATACAATCAAATCCAATTGAGCCAGAAGATCAAGAGAAAACTATGTTCACATATCCCTATAGGGGTTTTTGCATTTAGGCCCCTGTTTGGACCACATTTTTTTTTCATTCTCATTCTTCTACTCATTTTCAACCACACATTCTTCAATAAAATAATATTTTTCATCACATCAATAACTTTTCTTTCCTTTTCAACCACATATTCTCCATCAATCTACTATTCCAGAATACATTCTTCCAAAATAATGTGGATCAAACACACCCTAGGAGAATGCCCTTTGGACTATATAATGCACCCGCCATATTCTAGCTTTGCATGATGGTTATTTCTTATGGTAGAACATTATATCTAGGTATTTCTGAATGATTTTTTAGTTTTCACTCAACGATGTAAGGAATAGAATATTGTGCTCAATTGGGAAAATTGTCACTTCATGGTAAAGAAAGGTATAGTTTTGGGACATTAGATTTCCACCCAAGACAAAAGTTGACAAAGTAAAGATACAAGTAATTGAAAAATTGTAGCCATTGAATTCAGTTAACGGGATCAGAAGCTTTATAAAATATGGAAGATTTTATAGAAGGTTCATCAAGGATTTTCTAAAATTACATAGCCGTCATGTAGCTTATTGAAGAAGACTGTCATTTAATTTTTGTGATTAGTGTCTCATAGTTTTTAACACTTTGAAAGAAAAGTTGATAATCGAACTGGGACTTACCACTTGAGATGATGGGTGGACAGTGTTGGGAAAAAATTATACGTGTCATATACAATGCTAGCAAAATATTTACAGATGTTGAGATCAATTATGCTACCACTGAAAAAGATATGCTAGCAATAATCTTTGCCATTGACAAATTCTCTTCGTATCTGATTGGGTAAAAAGTAATAATCTACACGGACTACATTGTATTGAGGTATTTGTTTGGGAAGAAAGATGCTAAACCCCATCCTCTAGGCTCGAGGCTTGGAAAAATCATCCCGCTTGCGTCTAGGAGGACAAATAGACAATCAATTCTATGTTGATCGTCGAAGGTGCACTTTTTTTTTTTTTTCCTTTTTCTTTTACAGGCGATATTTTCTTATTTTGACGTCTAGCTCAACAAAATGTGCAATCCCTTATAAGTCCACACCAAAGCCAAAATGCAGCCTACGAACATAGCTCTTTCAACCGACAAACAAAGATTATTGATTCAGAGATTTATGATTTTTAGAAATATGTTTCATTAAAAACTTGAAAATATGTATGTAGTTTTAATAACTATTCAAGTTATGTGTTATTTTATTTATTGGTATACAATAATTAAAATAATATATATATAAAAAAAAGTCTTATTATGCATAGGCTTCAACTTATCTCGCCTTTCAGCTTCTACAACCTTGATTAGAGTGTTACTTAGCCCTTGCTTGGCACTATTTTTTAAATTTTATTTTTCCTCAAACTTAGCCCCGTTTGTTTGACATTATTTTTACACCAAAATGAGTTTTTTGACCATTTTTTTCCAAATTGTGGGTCCCACCATGAGAGATGGTGATAGTTATGTCAACGAGCCGAACTGAGGCTCGGCCCGAGCCTAGCGGGCTGAGCCAAGCCCGAACCAAGCCGTTCGGGTTTTTTAGGAGTGCAATAAATTGGACCAAAAAGCAGCAGTCTTTACCTAAAAAGTTGCGCTCTTTGTTTTTTTCTACTGTTGATGGTTTTCATACTGAGAGTTTCAGTTGATTCTTCTGTTATATACTTGTTTTGGAGAATGCACTCCTTTTTCTAAATCTTATTAGTGCATTGTGGCTTGATTTCATCGCAGTGGTGGTGGTGATGATGATCTAGGTGCACTTCGGCAACTCCTGACTGATCAACCTAATATTCCCAGAGAAGAAGGTAGATTAAAATTATCCGGATAAGTATATTACCTGGAAATATATTGAAGCATCTTTAGAAAAATAAATAAATAAATAAATTCTATAATTGCACCTACTGATCACCTTATGGACCTTGTAACTATAGATATTCTTTTCTATAATCCTTTTTTCCCTTATGTAGTAGTAGTTGTCTCTCAGGTGCAATCCGAGTTTTGACTGCTTTGCCTCAGCAGGACAATATATTTGTCTGGTTGCAATTCTTATAGTAAATTCTCCATTTGCAGTGCAATTGATATTTCATAAGGTTTTTGCTGAAGAACTCTGCTGAAGTGTACTTGTACACGGGCAATCACTGCACACCAAAACTATCTTCTACGTCTCAGAATGAAGACGAGGGATCTTGAAATCGTATGTAGATTCATATGGTTAAAATAGCGATATTGCCATGTACTCTTAACACTAAGAGGCAATGTTTTAAAAAACGCTGCCTAGGCTCGAAGTGGGCACAAAATGCCTCGCCTCGCACTTTTTTTTTTCGTGTCTGGATGCACTTTTTTTTTTTTTTTTTCCTTTTTCTTTTACAGGTGATATTTTCTTATTTTGAAGTCTAGCTCAACAAAATGTATCAATTCTATGTTGATCATCTAAGTTGCACTTTTTTTTTTATATTTGTGATATTTTCTTATTTTGAAGTCTAGCTCAACAAAATGTGCAATCCCTTATAAGTCCACACCATAGCCAAAATGCAGCCTACGAACATAGCTCTTTCAACCGACAAACAAAGATTATTGATTCAGAGATTTATGATTTTTAGAAATATGTTTCATTAAAAACTTGAAAATATGTATGTAGTTCTAATAACTATTCAAGTTATGTGTTATTTTATTTATTGGTATACAATAATTAAAATAATATATATATAAAAAAAAGTCTTATTATGCATAGGCTTCAACTTATCTCGCCTTTTAGCTTCTACAACCTTGATTAGAGTGTTACTTAGCCCTTGCTTGGCACTATTTTTTAAATTTTATTTTTCCTCAAACTTTGCCCCTGTTTGTTTGACATTATTTTTACACCAAAATGAGTTTTTTGACCCTTTTTTTTTCAAATTGTGGGTCCCACCATGAGAGATGGTGATAGCTATGTCAACGAGCCGAACTGAGGCTCGGCCCGAGCCCAGCGGGCTGAGCCAAGCCCGAACCAAGCCGTTCGGGTTTTTTTTTTTTTATGTCAAATCTATGTTTTTACTTAAAACATTTAAAATTCGTACAGTTTATTTGTACTATAAATTAAATAAAAAAGTTCAGGCTCGGCTTGAGCTTTTTTGGGCTCGAGCCGAGCCGAGCCGAGCCGAGCCGAGCAAAGCCTGCCAAAAAAATGAGGCTGGCTTGAGCCGAGCACGACTCGAGCTTTTTTCGAGCTCGAGCCGTCCGAGCCAGCGAGCTTTTTTGCCATCCCTAAATGGTAAAAAATGGTGGCTAAATCCCACCTCCCAACGGTCACATATTTCCTTCAAATGGCAAATAAATAGAGGCTTATTTTCAATCACACATTGGACTCACAACTTTATCAACTTTATCAATCATGCATTCTATTAATTTTATCACAACCTACTAAAATTTCGATTTGTATCCAAATCAAACAAGACTTAGTGAAAAATTCAATGTTCATTTAATAAAATTATCCTTAGGTATAATTATTTCCAATATAGTCAAGTTTCATTAATTAATTGAGAAATTCTCACAGCGGTCGGTTGAGAATAACTATAACATATGATTACTACCGAGCTAGAATTATAGATATAGATTCTTTTAGATATTTTGAGTAAAGCAATGATTCTTTCAACTAATAGAATATTATTGAAATTTGATTGAAATTTATATCAAAGATCACCACAACTTTTAAAATATTTCAATATTAAGGTACGATTGAAAATGATTTTAGATCTCAACTTCTAAATTCTTATTTTCAAACAATCTATCATTATTTTATGTGTTTGATAAAATTAAAAATTAATTATTGAAGCATTTGTATCACAAGGCAACAAAAATATATGTTTTCTGATATTCTGCTTTTAACTTTTTCTGTTGCATATGTTGACATACCAATTCTAACACCAACTAATTAAAATAATTCGTTTTGTGTTATAGTTTATTAGTTGATGGTGTAGGAAAAACAAACCCGAACTCGACCTCACGGCCCGACCTTGGCCCATCACTTTTGGGCCGGTAACAAGGTCGGGGTTTAGGGTGGAGGTCGGGTCTGATAAACTAGGTCGGGTGTTAGTCCTAACTCACCCGCCTCTTGACCTTATCGCATGTTTCCTAGGAAGTGTAATCCATCTGAATACAATTCGTTCATAACCCAAACACCTTCTATAACAAGGATAAGTACCAGAGTTAGTTGAGTCATTTTAGGATTCCACCCCCAATCTGTATAAATACAAGACCTTGCCTCATCATTCAGGTACCTTTTTTCAATAATACTCAAGCATATAATATTCTAACTTAAGCATCAGAGGGGCGACGATGCCACATCTCGACGCTTTTGTTTCAGGTATTGAAGATCATAGCGTGCAGAGTTCAACCATTCGATTCGGGTCAATCCAGGTACGAATTTTTGGTAGTATCATTGGTGCCGTCTGTGGGAAGCACTACCAGAAGCCATGGTTAACACCTGTTCATGACATCTTTCAGCAAGCTCATCCGCTCCTAATCAACGCCTCGTTAGAAACCATCCAGGTAGAGGTGGGCAAAAAACTAACAGACTCGATGAAACCGACCGAACCGACCCAAACTGACCGGTTTGGGTAGGTTTTTTGCATTTTTTTGGCGGTTTTCGGGTTTCAGGTTGGGTGGTCTGGTCAGGTCGCGGGTTGGCACCCTAAACCCAACCTGACCCAACCCGAAAATTAAAAAGAAAAAGAAAAAAAAAAGATGTTAAATTGAAAAAAACAAAAGGCAAAACAAGAGAGAGTAAATCAACCAAACCTAAACTTGGTAGATTTCATTTCCCATTCTCTTTGCCGACTTCTCTGTACTCTCTTCGCCCATTTCCTCTCTTCCTTCGTCTCCCTTCCCTGACCTCTCTCTTCGTCTCCCTTCCCTGACCTCTCTCTTCGTCTTTCTTCGCCGAGAATCTGAGATCTTCAAGGTAAGTTTTCAATTTATTTATTGTTGCCATTGTATTGGCAAGCGTGATTAACTATAAATTATGCTGCAGAATAATGGACTTGCTGTTACAGATGATGTTGGTAAGGATTTTAGAGGTGTTGACGAAAGTGAAAAGTTGTGTGAATTAAAATATGGGAGTTACTGTTTACGGCGTCGAGAACATAGGAAAAAATGAAGCTACGACACATAAAGATCTTCATCCTCGATACGTTCCAGTTTCACCCTTCAATTTAGCATATAATGTCTGTGTGTTTCGTTTCTTTATTATTCAGTCAAATAACACGGAAAGAGTTCATTCTATAGTAATTTGAAGAATAGCCCTATCAAGTTTGACTGCTGTATTTCTGGCTTCATGTTGCCTTGAATTCTTTCTTTTGATAATTATCTATGTGCAATATAGTTTGATTTTTGCTGTTCGTGAACTGTTAATTGATTTGTCTAGATTGCAAAATAAAAATGATATTGCCTATTGGGTGATTCATTGCTACATATTGCATGTCAATTGGACTTGACTGAGCTCAGTGAGTTTTTGGCCAACTGTTGGGCTATATACTGGAGTCAGGATTAAATGTTGCCACTTTGCTCTATTAGAATATAATGGTCTTAGCATCTTTGCAATTTCATCATTTATTTCCTTGAACAGTCCATAGATCTCTAATAAAAATTATCGATACAAACCGACGAATCCAACCCAACCTGACCGACACATAATTAGGTTGTGTTGGGTTGGGTTTCAACATTTACATGGGTTAGGTTGGGTTGGATTTTGAGCAACTCGACAATGTTGGGTTGGGTTTAGGTTGGGGCAAAAACTGACCCAACCCAACCCACGCCCACCCCTACATTCGGGTTCCCAGGAGATATCATTAGGAGAACTACTACACCAGCCGGCAATAGTCGCTCTTGGAGCATTGGAAGAACTCTGCCAGCAGGTAGCCCCGCTTACTCAAATATTACATCAGATAGGCATACCCCCAGTGCCATCCCCGCAGAGTGGTCTTATGGCTAATGATCGGGCCTCGGCCCAAGCCACGATGAAGTCCAAGCCGCGGATGCACAACATATCCCCGTGGTTTCTAGATCAATTACCACGGGCTCAATTGATCTTGTACAGATCATCCAAGAGGGAATTACTACTGGAATGCTCCAGAAGTCTCAGGCAGCAACAAGATTTACCCCTAACACGTCGTTTACCCCTGAAGTATTGTCATACCCCTTACCGGATCGATTTAAGTATCCTCGGGTGAAGGAGTGTGACGGATCCAACTAACCCCATCAACCATCTCAACATATATACGGATATCATGAACTAGCAGGTCATACCCGATGCTGTAATGTGCAAGGCCTTTCCTCAGACACTTACCAACGCAGCCCGAAACTGGTTCTCCACACTGGAGCCTAACTCTACATCTTCCTTTTCGTTCCTTTTCGGACTTGGCTGACAAGTTCTTCGTAAGTAGTAAGCGTATCAGGAAGACAGCCGCATCACTCATGCAGATGAGGCAATGACTTAGGGAGACACTATGAAATTTCATGGCAAAGTTTAATAAGGAAAGACTTATGATCCCCGATCTGCATATCACAGTTGCAGTCTCTACACTAACATATGCCGTAAGATGAGAAGCGTTTAAGATATCTCAATCAAAGACCCCTCCAAAGTCGATAACCGACCTACTGACTTGAGCGGAGAAATACATCAACATGGAGGAGACCATGTTTCCAAGAAGGGATGCCCGCCATTAAAGAAGCCCGACCTAAAGAGGCCACATGAGTCTAACCAGCGCTCGGACCCCTTCTGAAACAAACTAAGGCAAGACCCTCCTCCAACACCTTTCACTCACTTGAATACAACGAGGTCTAACATTTTGATGGAAATCAAAGACCTGAAAGAGTTGAAGTGGCCTCCGAGACTATGGGCTCCACCTGAGGCCAGTGACAAAAGCAAGTAGTGTGACTTTCATAGAGATCATGGACACACGACCGAAAGATACTTCGCTCTGAAGCGTGAAATCGAAGCTCTCATCAAGAGGGATTTCCTGAGCACATATGTTAGTCAAGACAAGCGTCAACGGAACAACCAGAATAGGGGTAAAGCTCCTGAAGATGGAGGAGATAAGCAACCAACCGCAGGGACTATCAATATCATTGTCGGAGG